GTTGACAGGCATCTACGCAGGATCATCCAAGGGGGAGCTGGACAAGCTTCAAGGACAGTTGTAGATCTGGGATTTGGATCTCTCTGGTTTATATATATATACACACACACACACACACACCACTGTGACTGCATTGTGCGCTGGGCTACAGATGTTTTCTGCTTGTGACGAACATAAAAACCAAGAACAGAGGTTGTATCTATCAGTTCATTGTGCTCCTCTTGATTATTTCATTCATGAAAAGTGAATCAATCTCTGGCAGGGTCACAGCACTATTCCTCTGTTTGTCAGCTGGAGGAACAAACATTTAATCTGAGAAATGTCAAGAATTGTGTAATCAATTACAAGATGAGAGACAGCAGAAAAAGCACTAGAAAAATGAGTTAAGAGTATCCAAAATGTGTAATGAGAAACTATGAGCAGAAACTGAAGCATCCAGACATAATCTGCAACAATGCTGAATTCAGGTCAGTGGACTGTTACCCATCAACCCTCTAAGTCTCCTCATTCTATACCTTCAATTATTTATGCATGTTCAGCCCATTGCACTTTCAGTGCCACGTTGTCTGACAGGGCCTTTTTAAGCACAGCATCAGTCTTGCTTCTCCCTTACAGGAGTGCATTTCAGAAGATCCCTGCTATAAATGACTGGGCACCACACACACACACACACACACACACACACACACACACACACACACAGGTCCAAAACACTGCTGCAGTGTGTTTATAAAAATGATCACGTGAATGCAGGACTGAGGCAAAGCCAGCAGCAACTCCTGCAGAAACGTTCTCCCAGCAGCTGGAGTGTTTCATCATCTGCCTGGCGCCATATCACAGAACACATAGAAGAAGCTGAGATCGCACAAAGGATTTAGAACAGCATCATTAGGAGCCACTGAATATTAATGTGTAGCTCTGGGTTATATTTTGTGTACATGGTCAAAATTCATTTCTCTACAAAAATAAAATCATTGTCTAGAGCTGCAACGATTAGTCGATTAATCAGTTGGTTGGTCAAAAAAATATTAATCAGCAAATACTTGATTATCAACAAATCAAATAAGTCATTTGTCAAGCAAAAACCTGTGTCATAAACTGAATATCCTTGGGTTTTGGATTGCTGGCTGATAAGAAGGCAATTTGAATACATCATGTTTGACTGAGGGAAATTATAAGAAGTTTTTTTTTATGTTTTCAGTTTGATTATATATTTTATAGGTCACTGACTTAGCTACGCAAGCTAATAACATAGCTATTATGGAAAGATGTGTGATTCAAACATGAAGCATCTAATTACAGTGTGTAGGAGCAGACCATCTTAGCTACCACTGAAGAAACGCACATCATTACTTGCAGTGGCTACAAAAAGGGTTCATTGCTTTTGGACCTTCTCATGTTGTATTTTTAACAACATTAAAAAAATAAAAACACTGGATATAATTAGGATTTGTGGGCACTGATCCAAATACTTTAATATAATCTGTTCCTCAGACAATGTTGTCTACCACCGTCTACCAGATGAAGCCCGACCATAAACAGACCTCAGAGCAAATGGCACTTTTTGCCCACAGATTAAATGGTTCAGGACAATATTCTACAATCCTGACACAACCTCAGGTCTGCATCACTTGAGCAGATTAAACATCTTCCTTGTCTTTTCATTTCTATTTCCCCATTCTTTTAGCACCACACTATCTTCTTTTGTCCCCTGATTGCTTGTGCTTCCTTCCATATCACAGGATTTCCTGCACAGCCTCTGTTGTGATCATGCACTTCATCTAGGAATGCCTGTAAGAACCACAAATTCCTCAGTAAACAATATCAAGCATAAAATTCACAGCAGAACATTTTGTTTCCACATTGCCAAGTCACAAAAGCCTGTGGGTTTTGTTAGGCATGATTAAACTGTAACTCTGGGCTCCTAACTCTGTATTTTTCTTATATCCTAGCTACAAAACAACTGCTGACTATTTAAACATTGTGAAAGTGTTAAAGTTGGTAACTGCCAGACTATGCACAAACATGCTGAGCAAAACGGCCTCTTTGTTTTGTCACTGTATAAATGGTTTGCCTACCTGGCATGCTATAATTCAGTAAACGACACTTGTTTGAACAGCACAAATCAACTTGTCTTACATAAAACTAGTTTTCCTGATATTCTACAGTAGCCTGTTTAAATCACAGATGACATGGTATATGTGCTCTTCCAAACTCTGTTCTGGAATTAATATCTGTATCTATAAAACCATCTGTTTGCTTGCATAAGAGGACAGGTGGCCTGCTGAGGACTGTGAAGCTAAAGTTTTATGAGCACATGTTTGTACGGCTATTTTCGTAAGGACATACACTGATGTAATGCCTTCCCTAACCCCTTACAGTACTACAGGCTAACCATCTCAACTAGAACCTCAGCATTGACCCAGATGTTTTGCTGATTTTTTTTTTTTTTTATCAATTCAGCAAATAATAATCATTTCAGCTCTAGAATAGGGGACATGTAGAAGCATAAACAAAGCCTTGCTTATGACTAAAGGTATTCAATTGTAGAACAAAGTTACATGTATAACTTGATAAAGTGAATACTTAAAGGTGTCAGTAAGTTTCAATGATGTTCATCAACATGCTGTTGATAAATCTGAGATTAGGATGAGTGTGCCAAAGAATTGAAAAGTAATACCAGATGGTTGTGAGTCATACCGTGGCATTTTATTTCCCAAAATAGCTGGTTTTCTATGAACTGAGTGATAGATTTTATTACAGCAGGAAGAAGAAAGATGGCTCTTGTGGGGTTATATCTTGGCCAGTCCCTTTTCTAACTCACCGTCTTCAACCAAACGTGTTTTCTCACCTGCTGCTCAGCCGTCTTTTTAGGAAAACTTGAAATCTTGGAGAGATATTTAACTCCCCTTTAAGCCACTTATATTGGCTTCCAGTTGATTACAGAATCACTTTAGTGTTTTCACTGATTACAGTATAAAGCAGTTCTGGCTTGACTGCAGCAACACTAACAGATTTTCACCTCAAACACATTCAGCTTCCAAATGCTGAACAATCCTTTTCAGTTCTAAGCATTTTTAATTAATTGAACCATATAATGTTATTGACTGGGTTTGAGGAAGTGCATAATATATGAATTTAATTTAGAAATATTGCTTAGTGGGACTTTGTGAGCCAACATTTACCCCTTTTGCTTCCAATTTAATGCTGCACTTAGCAGGCACTGAAATACCGAGCCATCAGACTAAC